ATGGGAGTCTTATTTTACACACATTTGGAAAAGGCTTGGAATAATAGACATAGTCTGACAGTCATTTGTAGGTACAGTGCCACAGACATGTTAGAAGATTTACGCCAAGAACCCTCAGGCTATTTTAAAAACTTTTGTCGAAAAGTTTCCGAAAGATTCCCATTAATGTATCTTTTTTTTTCAAATCTGCGATTGAACATTTTACGCTCATTTGCTCTTCAATTCGCCTCCAGACATCATGAACTAAGTTCCTGTTTTTATGGTTTGGATCCCGTGGGTTCCAAATAATTGGCTCGGCTTCATAAAATGATAAAAATTCTAACACCACTTCATTAGACCACTCCATGGTGAAAGTTACCACGGCACTGGTAGTACCACGCTCCTAGCCGCGCCGTTGGAGCTGTAAGCACGTGTGGCGCGCCAACGTCCGCGCCCCTTTGAATCGTGTTGATTTACCGACAGACGACGGGACTCATCGCGCCGACCGAAGATTGGCAAGCTTGGCCTATCCAACGGAGCGGGAACTGGCAAGTTTGGCGCGTGGAGTGCCGCTCCACGCGCCGTTGGATCCCGGCTTTAGAAGCCCTAACAGAGCTGTATAGTCAAAACAGACTAACGAAAGGAGGGGTACCAAGTCACAGAAGACAAGGGCGATATATTTCCCAAATATATTGATATATTTTAATCGATATTTTACTACCGATATATCGAAAAAAATATCAATGTAATCTTTTAGATATATCGAAAACATTATTAATAAAGCGTACGCTCGTGCGTGTGTGACGTTGATGTTGTTTGACGCTTTCAGCTAACACGTCAAGGCGTGCACACGTGGTTCTTTGTTTTATTTTTTGTAGGTGGTTTGTTGTATGAATTTGCCAATTTTTTAGTTTTATTTTCGGTGTCCAAAGTCCAGAGTGGGTAATAAAATTATTTTTTCTGCAATAGTAACTTCTGTTCCAAATGAAAATTATTTTTTAAAGCTAGTTTGACAGCAACAAAAAGCCGAAACCGTTTATCTGGCAAAAAATTATCTAATTTAATATTTTTGAGTTCTTTTCTCAGAAAGCTCTAAAATATACGTAGCATAAACACTTGTATGTAAATATTTCAGTTCGGATAAGTTTAATTCATCTATGGAACCTATATTTAAAAAAATGTATTGTGTGTTTTATTACTTATCTGAATAAGGCCCAATTCCACCGCTAGTAGTTAAGAAATAAACCAGGTTTAAAATAATATTTTTCATTTAAACATGCCATTCTAAACTTGGCTTATTTATTAACGACTAGCGGTGGAAATGACCCTAAATAAATTGCATTTTAATTTTAAAAAAAAATTTGTAAATCTCATTAAAATGTAAAAAGGTCTTTACAAAAACATACCATATATTCCTTAGACCAAAATAAGTCGATTTAAGTAAAATTACCTTAGTACAAAGTTGCTTCGTTTGGGCTCCAGAGGGCCTTGAAGTTACAATTTTTAAATCGTTTTTCCCATATAAATTTAAAACGGCATATGCGATTTTGCTGAAATTTGGTATATTGGTAGAGTTTTATGTGGCAAAAAAATGGTATTAAAATTTTGTCCGATAATAATACATAGGCGTAGAACTTGATTTTTTAAATAATTGCACCTTTAAAAATTCTACGCCAATGGAAGAAAAGGAGTTTGAGTATGAAATTTACATTGCGCAACTCATTTACTTTAAAAAAAATACTCTTGATAAGACTCGATTACTTTCATGGTTTTCGCTAAATTTCTGTTTTAATAATTTAGAGTGTATAGGTTTCACAAAAATATTTATTTACAACATAATCAAAATAGAGATTTTACAAAAATTGTTCAAAATGTTCACCATTTTCACGCATACAAAGATTTATACGTCGAAAAAAATTAAAATGTATCCTTTCCATAACTTCTTCATCACCTCTAAGATTGTTTATTGCATCTTGAATACGTTGCCAGAGTTGTTCCTCATTTTCTACGGGTTCCCTGTAAACTGTGGATTTCAGATGTCCCCATAAAAAGTAATCCATTGGTGTTAGGTCTGGGGAACGTGGTGGCCAGTTTACAGGTGCGTCATTACCTCTGCCTATCCATTTGTGTGGATATTGTTCATTCAAGTGGTTTCTAACGTTTAAAGAAAAATGTGGTGGAGCTCCATCTTGCATAAACCACATATCTCTCCGAAGTTGGAGAGGTAAATCTTCTAACAATTCTGGCAACGTATTTTGTAGAAAATCCAAATAATTTTCTCCAGTTAATCTTCGTGGAAGTATGACAGGACCAACAATGAAATTACCAATTATTCCAGACCACACATTAATTTTGAATTCGTGCTGAAAATGGTTTACCTTTATTGCATGCGGATTTTTAACGGCATAAACATGTTCATTATGGGTATTAGTTATACCTCTTCTTGTAAAACCCGCTTCATCGGTAAAGAGAACCTTCTTGACAAAGTTTGGATCTCTTTATCTTTGCATATTAACAAATCGACAAAACCCAAACTAATTTGGGGATCATGGACTAATAATTCTTGTACTGGTTTCTTATGGTATGGATATAGCAATTGTTCTCTAAGCACTTTATGAACCCTAGATCCCTTCCAATTCGTCTGGTGCTTAATTCTGCATCTTTTTCAACACGTTCTAAAAAGTCTTCTTCAACTTCAGGAATCCTTACAAAACGTTCTCTTCCATTATCAACAGTGTTGGGAGCAAAGGAACTGGTCTCTCGAAGACGTCTCTCAACAGCAGCAAAAGTTGGGTGGCTAGGTACACGACGATTTGGAAACCTTTCAGAGTACACCCTGACACTCTCTCGAGCATTTCCTTCACAAAATCCTAATGTCAGTAACATATCGGTATATTCTGCATTGGTATATTGTACAGCCATATTAATAAACCACGCATTTGTTTTTTTAATTATTGAGTCAGATAGAACACTTTCAATCGTTAACAAGAGATTAGGTGTTAAAACTTGACAATATTTTTATTTAGATGAAACTATGGAAACCAACAATAAATGTTTTTGTATACGTATTGCAGGCAAATAATTAATATTCCTCAAAAAATCGTACATGGCAAGAATCGAGTATTTTTGTTAAAAGTCTCGATTAGAGGTGTTGAAGAAGATATGAAAAAAGTACATTTTTATGTTTTTCATCGTATAAAATTTTGTTCGATAATAATACATAGGCATAGAACTTGACTTTTTAAATAATTGCACCTTTAAAAATTCTACGCCAATGGCAAAAAAGGGGATTGGGTATGAAATTTGGATTGGGTACTCATTTACTACAAAAAAGTACCCTTGATAACACTCGATTTACTCTCATGGTTTTGACAAAGTTTGTATATTAATAATTATTGTTTATGTTCTAAAATTACTAAAATGCAAATTTCGTCAAAACCATGAGAGTAATCGAGTCTTATCAAGAGTATCTTTTTTATAGTAAATAAGATGCCAACAAACTATGAATATTTTATTGAAACCGGTTGAAACGTTTTTAACACATTATTAAAAATAGTTTTTTTTTTAATTTTAACACCCTGTATCTAGGAATTGAAACGTGTTCGGGCACATTTTTATTAATCAAATTAATAATATTAATTTTGATGTCCTCTATCACCTAAAAAATTTGCTATATTGAGCCTTATAACCTTCTAACTCTGAATCAGATGCGCCTATTTTGTAATAGGATTATTTCCTAAGATTTATGTACATAACGTAAAAGTAAAGATATAAAAATTGTAGAATAAATGTAACAATATTCTTTCTTGAACTGACCAACCCAATATATTAATTATTACAACCAACAAGTGTTTATTTTTTTATATGAACAAATGTAAGCAATTTTACTCGACTTCCTAACTAATTTATATATTTATTTCAATGTCTGCACTAAAATTTGTTAGTATATACGGGTACATTAACCTTTTTGTTTCAACAGAATCGGATAATAAAAACTTTCACCTTCTATGTTGAATGTAGAATTATTTTAACTACGTTAACACCGAAGATTACTTTGTAGGTTGAACATTTTCGTGAATTTCACTTGCAGTAAAGTAGAATAAACATTACCTGCTCAATAATGGGGCAATAATAGTGTATCAGATCACATAACTAATACGTAAAATGCGAAAATATAGTTTTACGAGTTATTTACAAGATTTTTCATAATAAATGTTAGTTTTCTAATGTTGACATATAAAGTAACATTTTTATTATCACAGCAAGTATCAAAATGCAACTAGTTGCATAATGTTGAAAATTATGCAACTGGTTTTAAAAAATCATTATGTCACCAGTTGCGAAAAAAAAACAAATAAAAATAAACCTTTATTGGTTTTAAAATCCATAATATAAATTATTATTGAAAATTCATATCAAAGAAAGACAGAATAGAATGACTTATAAAAATAAAATTTGGTTAAACTAACATCCTAGTGATAGTGTTGTTTAAGTCCTTATTTTACATTCTTAATTAGCACAAAATTATTAAAACACAATACACGACAAAATAACTCACTTTCTTGAAATTTAAATAATTTAACAAACAATATAAACACACTACAATAATTCGTTGAGAATAAATAAATAAGATTTTCGTATAAAAACTATATATAAAATAATTTCAAATTTCCGTCCTTCTTTTTATAAAGCCAAATTGACTGTAGACGTTTTATTTTCTATGTAAGTCAATGCGAAATAGTGTTTTTTGAAAAAAATAGTGAAAAGAATCAAAATAATGTGAAGAAAGTATCTAAGTACAAGTAACATGAGTGACAAAAAACATCAAAGCAAGATTTACTTCGTTCTAAGTTGTAAAACAGAATATAAATCAGATGTAAAACTAAAGAAAACACAAGGATAAATCAATTTAAAGTCTTTTTAAATTTCCTAGTGTAAGTGAAATAATGTATTTATTTATAAATATAATATATATTGTAAACTAGTCACAACTCGTATAGATGTCTAATAACATTTTGATGTCAGACCACCGCTGGTTAACATTCAAAATAAACTTGATGTTGCCGACCTCCACGATATCTCGAAACCCTAGGAAGACGGACAGGGCAACCTATGCCCACCTTCTCTAAGAGGCTCTAAGAGATATGGAAGTCAAAACACCAAACAATAACAATGCTTTAGAGAAGTACTCGAACACTATCCAAAACACAATACATAATTCCTATAAGAAATCCTGTCCTCAGAGGCTGGTCCAACATGATCAGACGACTACCGTATGGTGGTGTCACGAGTTGGATCACCTTAGGAAGATGGCTAGGAAATCCTTTAATAAGGCAAGCACCACAAAACTCAAAAAGAACTGGGATACTCACCTAAGAGAATACAAAAAAATCGTTAGACAAAAGGAGATGGAGATCCTATTGCGAAGAAATCGAAGATTTCTTGCAGGCAGTGAGGCTTCAAAAAGCTCTCCCAAAAGATCCACACCGAAGCACTGGTGCGCTAATTAAAGATGATGGCACGAAAACAGCCAACTTCTGCTGTCAACACACTTCCCTGACTCGGTCATCACAGACGTGGCCGACTGGGCAGTAAGAATACAACCCTTTTGTCTATGATTGGCAAAATGCCAAACACATTGTAGACGATGAAAAAATTAGATGGGCAATACCCAGCAAACACAAACATGTAACATATATGTAACATTTACATGTACTAGTTCCGTGTTACATAACAAAGTAACTTACATGTTACATTATAACTCACGTGATTACTGTGAAAAATTACCTAATTTTGTTATATAGCAGGTTTCGTATATGTGATGTAATGTGTTAAGTACATGTAAGGAACAATGTTATATATCGGAAGACATGTAACATTTATATTATCATTATTATTACAGCACTTACATTACTTTTTTTCATATAACATTAGTATTATAAATATTATATAAATGAAGGTATATAAATGTGTCGTCTCAAAATGTAGGTATTAGTTATACAGTGTGTCTACTTAAGTTGGAACCATATGGAAAACTTTTTTATTATTGGTTTTGTAAAAAACGTATTCCTGATAAAAAGTTCTGCATGGTTCAAAACTTAAAATGCAATCATCAGATATTAATTTATTTAAGCTGTCTACGAGGTTTGTCTAAAAATATGAATTTTACTCAAGAGTAAAGTTCCTTTATTTTTTACAATACAGAAGAACATTATAAAGTAAAGTTATTTTAAATTGAAATTTATATTCAAATATGCAATTACAGTCATTTAGCATGAAAATTCAGGTTAGGTGATTATTTACGTTTTACATTATTTGTAGTTATAAATTAATTAATCAGCAAACCTGAATTTTAATGCTAAATGGTTGAAATTGCATTTTTGAATATAACTTTTAATTCAAAATAACTTTACTTCATAACATTCTTCTGTATTGTAAAACATAAAGGTACTTTACTCTTGAGTATTTTTTGGCAAACCTCGTATACAGCTTAAAAAATTGATATCTGATGGTTGCATTTTAAGTTTTGAATCATGCAGAACTGTTTATCAAGAATACATTTTTTTCACAAAACCACTAATAAAAAAGTTTTCCATTTGGTTCCAACTTAAGTAGACACACTGTATGACAAATACAAAAAAAACGACGAAAATATTTGAAAGATAAAGAAAAGTAATTTAAACGTATTTGTTAGGTATATCAATAATTTTATTGGACAAATTCATAACCGAAACCAAAAATGTATTATAAAAATATTGCACACAAATATAATAACCCAAATTCATCATAAAAATCACAAATTATCTGGTATTAATGACGATCTACGGCCTCAAAATTCAGGGCTTCATAAAGATGACCTGAAAAGAGAAAAATAGTATATTATGCAACGATCATGTAATGATGGTTATTAATACACGAGCATTAACCGGGATACGAAACGAGCCAAAGGCGAGTTTCGTATGGTTTATGCGAGTGTTTTAATAACCATTACATGAGAGTTGCATACGCTATTTTTTCTACACCCGATAAATAATCAAGACCTATAAATATTATATTTATATTGGTATTGAACACAATAACAGTAATTACTCGTATTTCTATAAAAAATTCTACAAAATTGTAATTAATGGTATTACTTCAGGTATTGGTATTTCCCTAGATTTTTGCGGTAAAATATTTTGTACTATATTTTCTGCTTTCTCCGATATGTGTGGAGGAGTCTTCTATATCGCTAATATCAGACATTTTAATATTATAATTATCGAAGTTTAGCTACCTACGAAAATTTAATACGTTTTGACAACTAAAATAATTACATAGGAACCTAGGACAAACGTCAAACAGCATGCTTGATTGAAAAATTGTAGGTTTCTATTGATTAAAAATCTGTATCGTAATGAAAAATCTGTATCATAATGGGTATCATTATGAAACGGATTATGGGCATATAAGTGCATTATTATAATACGGGTGTAGAAAAACTTAATATTTACACCTCAAATGTATCATCAAAATACAGCACACACATATAATAACTCAATTTCATTTTAAAAACACAACATACCTGCTATAGTCCACAAAAATCCAAAAATGCCACAGGTACCTCCATAAAACGCCTATAGCCGCCATTGAACATTGAAACGCTACTAAAAATAATGCACCAGATATTCCTACTTACCTACCTAAAAAACATGCGTATTTCAAGGACCGTTTTATCAACAGCGTTTATATGTACAGTTCATCAAATTTCTAGAGGCTTTCGACGGCTAGACAGAGAAAGCACTACTGACAGGCATCCCGACGGATTTACGCAATGAAAGTACACTCTGCGCATCAAGTATTTCACTATTTCATTCAGACGTAAATGTCAGATGTAAATTTCGCTAAAACATTTCTTTTATTTTCGTTTGTGTTTTTTGCTCATTACAGTTTAATAGAATCTAAGTATGGAGTTTAATAGCAAATTAAGAGGCCGCGTGATTAACAGTCAATCTCGCGAAATAATAGCCAATGTTATAGAGTTTATGAGAAGAGAAGGGAACTTTAATTCACCTTCAATACCATTTAAAAATGTAAATGATCGTGTTGCTGCAGCCACAGTAGTATCTAAAAACACTGTCGTCCGCATTTCTGGAGAGAAAAAAAGAATCGATAACCGTGAGATATCGGAATTTTCATCACCAAGAAAAACCATTAAAAAACCAAAAACAGTTAATGATATAGATGAAGCTGCACAAGAATCAAATTTTATTTTTTTATTATTAGATAGCTATTTTTGTTTCTGAGTTGTGTTCATTTACAGGCTCAATTTTTTTCCGTTTCTCCTTTTTGATTTTATATGGCGTTTCAAGTTGTTTTTGACTTATTTCGACGTAAATCACAACAACACACTTTTTTAATAAAGCAAACAAGTGTTAAGAGGTATATGTACGTGTAAACTACAATTACAAAAAATTGATATGAAACCCATAAAACCACCAACAAAAATGTAAAGCTAGCTTCCGTACTAGAACATGGTGTCATTCGTCGAGATAATTTATCGTTTTGTTTAATAGATCAAGAAATGTAAATATTCCCCTATTTTTTATAAAATTATAAGAGAAATAAATTTTTTTCTAAATAGTATAGTTTATTATTTTGTAGAAAAACAAAATTTCGAAAATTTTAGTAATGTTTCAGAAACAACCGTTATTAATAATAGGTACCATTTTCCTTAATAAGGTAGAAATAAAATATAAACTATTTCCACGATTTACAAAGGCCTACAAAAAAATTATAGGTACTTTCCGCTATCCTATAAAATTTATATTTTCTGACTCAATTTCAAAAGGTTGAAGGAATTCCAAAACACCTTTTATGGCATAATAATTATTTTCAATTCTACATACTATCTTTAGCTACTTTTAAAAACGTTCTAAGAAAGTCCAATCAGACCAATTTAATCCCTAAACTATTCCACACTTTTAAAATTTAATTACCTAAAAATATTAAAAACTATTTAAAATAACTTGTTTAGCAGACTGTACAATAGCTATCTTAGTCACACGTAGCGCGTTCTCTGTCTGGGCGTCGAACACCTCTAGAAATTTGATGAACTGTATATTGATATGAATCCCCCCGGACTAGCTCTGAACACTAGGAAATTCCTCCCTGAGGGTGGGCTTCAGCTAAAATAATTAAACAAGTTAAATTTTATATACAAAAATCTTCACAAAAATCAAATTCTCCGATTGCAACGGCTTCTGTAATATTCTAAAAAAATAAAATCAATCCTCTTCACTCTACTCTAGATCTGCACTTCTCTGCTACGTCCCGCTACTGTCACATCTGATACGTCCTTCTCAATATAATAATCTCAGTATGCAAATTAGTACTTATCTTTTATCTCTCAATGTCCAGGTACAATGTCTTCTGCTTCTTCAATCTCGGAATCAATCTCTTTATAAATGATACTTATTTTTCAAAATTATCTTTTATTATTTCAAATTCTTCAATACACTTATTACTGGTAAATCGTGATTTTTATCGTAGCTCTTATTTAAATTTTCTCTAATAACAACTCTTTGAGTTAGACTGCGAAGGCGGTCGGTCAATCACGACCCTCACCCTTTGCCGGGGTATTTCTAACTGACTGTTTTCCAAAATCAATAAAAATCACCATTTTCCATAACAACGAACTTTGTTTCAAACTTTAACAACTCAATTAATGTAGCTTCACATACTCAGGGTGATATCTTTCCTGATGCCCGTATGTAGTCAAATCAGGAAACCGTATCAATATATACGCTATGTAACATTTTGTACGAAATAATTTAGTACAAATTGTTACTTCAATGTAGATTACACATAGATATATAAATTGATATAATCTTTATGTGAGGAAATTTATATAACGGATATGTAATTTTTGTAACATATATTATAATTATATACATGGTATATAACTATGGTGCTAAGTTTGAACTTAGGTGTTCGGTTCCATAAATAACACATAAAAGTGCATACAAGACAGTCTAAGTATATTTTAACCTTTTTAGTTATGTAACAGAAGGGAACATGTAACAGAATGGTTAGCTGGGTATCCAGCTTCTCTCCATTTAAATCGCCAGGACCTGAAGGTATTTATCCAGCCTTACTTCAGTGGGATCTGGAAGAACTTACACCGCACCTGTTGGGTACATTCAGATCCTCGTTGGCTCTGAAGTATATCCCCAAAAAATTGGGAGGATGGATTGAACTGTCCCAAAAACATTCCGACCAATTAGTCTGACATCGTTTTCCATGAAGACATTGAAAAGGCTATGCGAAAGGTACAATGCGTTGATTACAGCAACACCACTACCCCCAAACCAACATGCATACACCCCAGGCAGATCTACTAATTCAGCTCTTGATCTAGTTGCTGGCCGGATAGGAAAATCTCTGGACAATAAGGAGTCCGCCTTGAGTGTTTTTATAGACAGGTGCTTTTAATAAAACCACCTTTTCAAAGATAATACACTCACTAACC